GGACGAACATTTCTCACTTAAAGAAACTGGTCCAGATGACATGATTTAACCTTTTTTGTTGTCATCTACCTGGATGATTGAGCTTACAACCCTTTCTCTGAACCACGTTGGACTTGGTTGTCCTCACACTGTTTCTGTGAGTAGCAAGTTGGACACATGGTCTACAACATTTGATTGTTGTACGATGATTGATTGTTTTGGATGGGTGTGATTCGCCTGTGTTAAAAGCCTACTTTTTTGAGACTCCAACAGGAGGTTGGCTTTGAAACACAGCAGTGAAGGCTACCTATGGGAAAGATCTGTTTGTCAGGCCGCAGACTGAAGAAGTCCTCTGGATGGGGGACGAACATTTCTCACTTAAAGAAACTGGTCCAGATGACAACACTGAAGCTTTTCGCTCAGCTTGCTGCAGGAAACAACTGTCCATTAGTTTGACGCGAAAGCATCACTGCATTAGCAGCATTTTTTACAAATCCTCCGGTTCTCCAGTGGATCCATCTGATCAACCTTCCAGTGGATTCCTCTGGACGACCACGGCGACGTCTGATTTAAAAGCCATGCAAACTAAAGAACATACCGGTATATATTTTGTGAATGCGCCGTGATCAGGTGAAAATCGTGCGTGACTTCCTGCCGCGTTAAAACGAGCGCAGCGCATTTCAGGCTGAGTTAAAGTGCGGTGACACAAACCCACAGCGTTCTCCCTGGTTCGCTCCGTCACACTGATGTGAGCTGGAAGAGGAGCCGTGCAGAGAGCGAGGGGCATATCTGAGATTTTTATTATAAAAATAAATAAAAAAACATGGAGAAACCCAAATGGAGCTGTCGCCTCCACACTCTTCATCCTAATGGACTCGGAATGAAGCCGAATATGAAGAGACTCGTGTTTTCTCTCAGGAGGAAATAACAGTAAAGCTGCTTTTTAACACGTTTCACACGCTGGTAGCAGCTTCATCTTTTCCGATCACTCCGATATATCTTTATTTTCTGCCTTTTAAAGAAAAATATCAGGACGTTTTATATCTCCACAGGCTTTGTGTCGAAATGTATCCATAGCTAATGTGGGGAAAGTGTTTTTCTTTAATAAAGAAGTTGCAAAAAATAAACTCGCACATACAATAAAAACTTTTATTAAACATTGAAGTCTTAAAGTGTGAAACTTTCTCATTTTTCTAAAAAAATAAATATATGAATAAACCTTAAGGAAGCTGTAAAATATGAATGTAGTACTCCCTACTGTGCACGTGCACATTGTCTTTCCAAATTTGTTCATTCTGCTTCTTTTCTTTGATTATTCATTTTATAATTATTAGTATTAGATTATTCTCCGCTCCCACGACTAATTCTCCACGACCCACTCAAATTAGATGGACGCATTTACAAAGGGGGAGCAGAGGTTTGAGAAGGTCGCCGGTTCAATTCCCCGGGCTGACGTCGTCAAAATGTGAGCGGGAAAGGTGCAACGCCCACACCTGCCTCCACCCTAATTTACCCCACTCTGGGCCCTGAGCAAGGCCCTTAACCCCCACCATCTGCACCCCTGGGTGCCCTAGATGCTGCTCTCTGCTCCACACAGAGGGCTGTGGTAGCACACGTCCACCATCTCCAACCACTGCGCCACCACTCCCCATCCATCTACATGGAAACGACGTGAGGAGCATGGAAGAAAAATAAGAAGAGATTCATGAACGTTTCCTGTTTGCTCATTTATTTTACTGGTTTCTGGTGTTTTACCAGTAGTAACTCCTTCAAACACACCTGACTGGTTTGGATTTTGAACACGAAGTTGATAAAACTGATTTTGCACACAGCTGATCTGATGAGGTAATCATCTTAAAGCCACCTGGGTGTCCAGTTTGTGCTTTAGAACCAACAGAACCCATTAACTGGTACTGGTACTGCAGCTTTCTATTCAGCCGATCCGTTTGGGATCGCCGACCTGTCGTCGGACAGATCTCCAGAAACCGTCCCCGACTTGATTCCTCGTAAGGAAAAAGTGGTTCTGCAGTGAGGCCGGCATCGTGACTCACAGATTCCACATCGTCTGCCGATGACGGCTCGGTCGACGGACCGGTTCTGTTCGCTCGGAGAAACAAAGCCTTCATTCTTTCCTGGTTTGTTACGGCCGACGAGCGAGTTTCGGTGTTCTTGTCCAATCTCTGAACTGGACTGAACCGAACGACGCATCCAAATCTGGGAGGTTCTGATGCAGAACCGTGTGTGTGTGTGTGTGTGTGTTCATCTCACACACCGAGCCCGTTTCCACCCCACCAGCTCCCTCTTCTATGACAGATGGTAGCGTCTCCCTCAGATCTCTGATTTCATGCAGAGCGGGCTCCTCTCCGCTCCCACGACTAATCTTCCACGACCCACTCCTGACCCGCCCGCTGCAGGACGGCGGGTCGGCACGCCTCGCCGTCTAAGCGGTCCAACTTGGACGGACGCATCTACAAATTAGTGGAGTCAGCGATGGATCCCAAACGCTCGGTGTCAGACCTCCAACCTCACCCTGCGAGGCGTCGGCGCGAGGCGCTCGTTTAAACCGACCGCAAACCTCAGAGAGAGGGTCTCCACCTCGGTACAGCTGTGGAGTAAATATGTGTTTACAGCGGCCGAAGGTGGAGGCAGAACGCCCAAAGCTGTGGCTGTTATCAGCCGAAGGCGGCGGCAGAACGCCCAGAGCTGTGGCTGTTATCAGCTCAAACCTCCCAGGTTCTTGTGAACCTTCTGTTTTCATTCATTCATATTCATCTGCTCACTACAGGCTCATGTTCGGGCTGCTGTTTAATACACCGTACTATTTTACATTATTAGTGTTTAGATCCTTATATACTGCTTCTTTTATACTTTATATTTTTGCTATTTTTGGGTGTAACTGGGACCTTGAGTACAGTTTCATTCCACCTCATGTACCACATGTGAAGCGATTGACAGTAAAGATATTTGAACTTATTCAGAGACCTGCAACCGGCTTCAAATGTGTGTTTTTTTTACAAAAACACTGCAAGACCTGGTTTTAGGAGGAGGATTTAATCCAGCTTTAATCTCTGTTCTGGTCCAAGTATGCTAAATAAACACTGTGACCGCTCCAGGAAATAGACGGACCCCCTGTTCCAAAGCGTCAGCACCGTGTTGAGCCTGCAGGAGGAAGACGATGCCTCTTCCTCAACCAGCAACGCAGCTAACAAAAGTCCAGACCTGGTCCTCTGGTCCAGATCTTCGCTTGCTCTCTTTAAAGCCTCGCCTAAAGTTCTGCGTCTCTCCAGGAAATAGACCGATCCCTGCTCCTATGAGCCAAACACGGAGAACGTTTGAGAGAACGGGCGCATCTCAAAAAAAACTAATTAGAATATTGTGCAAGTTGTCTTCAGAGTGAAACTCGTAAATTAAAGAGATTAATTAGTCATAAATAATTCAAGTCTTTGTTTCTTGTAATCGTGGTGTCACACCCGAATCAGCTGATTAACTCCCAGACACCAGCTACAAATGTCTCGTCCCTCAAGTCCAGCCACTCCTGAACCAGAGACAACGTCAGCGTCTTACCTGCTGAGGAGACAAACTGGACTGTCTCCGTGGTCCAACGTCCCGTTTTCAGATGAAACTAAATGTTCACGTCATTTGTAAATCAACGCCCCAGAGTCTGGAGGACGAGAGGAGAGGCCCAGAATCCACGTAGCTTGAAGTCCAGAGTGAAGTTCCCAGTCAGTGATGGTTTGGGTCCATGTCCTCTGCTGGTTCTGGTCCACTGTGTTCTCTGAAGTCCACAACGCAGCGTCTACCAGAACATGCTTCCTTCTGCTGACGAGCTTTATGGAGATTTCATTTTCCAGCAGGATTTAGCTCCGACCCGCACTAAAGGCTAAAGGCACCAACAGCTACGTAATATTTAATTTTATGACACACCGAGTTTTGTTTTTCATCATTTGTAAACCAAAATCACCAAAAGCTTGAAATATTTCACTCCGTGTATGAATCTACGAGTTTCACTTCCTGAAATGATGGGACACAGAATGAGACTTGTTCAAGATGTTCTGAGATGCGCCTGTTTGGTGAAGCTTCGGCTGTTTCTCTTCGGCTGTGTGCGGCTTCACACGAACAGAGGGAGTTCATGGATTACAGCTAGTGGTGCCGCTCCTCTCTGCTCTGTGTTCTGATCCAGTTCTCTGATCCAGTTCTCAACAGCTACAACCCGGTCTGGACTCTCAAACACCTTCTCTGTCAGACCTGATGATGAACGTTCATGTCACCAGGAAATAGACGGAGCCCTGCTAAGAGCCGAATGCAGAGGAGCTTTGGCTGTTTGGAGCTGGACTTCAGCTGCAGATTCACCTGAAGCTGATAACATGGAGAGGATGGATGGATGGGGGGGGTTAGGAGCTGGGGTCAAAGGTCAGAGCCACACTAAAAGAAGACTGGACCTCTGAAAAGTTCTGAGGTTCCAATCTGGGCCTCGGGTTCCCACCAACATGGTGTTAAAGACAGAACCAGATCCAAAACTCCTGACCAGAACCTGATCTACAGCTCAGACCAGAACCAGATCCATACATCTGATAAGATCCGTATCAAATCTAAACCTGATCAGAACCAGATCCAAATATATAAGATCCATATCAAATCAGAACCAACCCTTTGATCCGAACCTGAACATTTAACCAGAACCATATCCAACCCTGTGATCAGAACCAGGTCCTGCTTCAGGTCCACCGAACGTCTGAGATGTTCGGTTTCAGGTCGGAACCTCAGGAAGCTGGTTCAGACTGGAACTGGATCGATGCAGACCACCGGTTCTGTCCCGCCCCATCATCCATCTGTAATTCACCAACAAGTGTTTTTGGTTCCGTCCATCCTCCCAGAACCGTCTCCAGAGTTCGGCAGTTGAAGAGAATTTGGGTTTTAATTCTGTTAAAGTGTCTGGTTCTGACGGTTCTGGTCGTGAAGTCCATGTGACAGCAGGATGAGGGTTTTAATCAGAACCATGGTCTGCGGACTGGAGTTCTTACCTGGATCGGGTCTGAGCCGCGCGGGTCCCGGTCTCTGAGCGCTCCAGCCCGGCTAAAGGCTCCGCTCCTCCTCGGTATCCGAACAGAACCGATCCGGGTCAAAAATATAAAAAAAATATATATAAAAAAAAATCCAAAACAAAAGATCCACCAAGGTGAAAAAATAAATAAAGTGTTAAATTTAATTAAAACAATCCAGGAAATATCCAAGTCCACCCAGGTTCTCAGATTTGCGGGGGTTCTGTTGAATGGAACCCGTCCGGACTGGACCGGGTCACCCGCCGGTACCTCCCGGTCAGCGGCAGCAGCAGGCGGGCCCGGGCGGCAGCATCCCCCGCTGACAGCGCGCGGCGTGCGCGTGGAGGTGCGGAGCTGCTGCTGGAGGAGGTTCGGGATGTGGACCGGGTGGAGGTTCGGGATGCGCACCGGGTGGAGGAGGTTCGGGATGCGCACCGGAGGGAGGGGGGGGTGGAGGAAGAGTTAAAAAAAAAAAAAAAAAAAAAAAAAAAAATCAGAGAAATCCTCCAAAGTGCGGAATCAGGAGGTCCAGCTGGAGTTGGGAGCAGCGCAGGTCCGGTTGGTATCCGCCCGACGCTTCGTGTTCCGGTCCGGTTCGGAGCAGCTCTGCACTGACTGTGAGGAGAAAGTGAATGCGAGCTGCTGCCTCCCTCCCTCCTCCCCCTCCCTCCCCCACTGGGGGAGAGGAGGAGGCTGAGGGGGGCGGGGCTTCGGCTCCAACTTTACGGATTTTTCCAACATTTTCCCCGGTTTGTCCAAATAAAACGACCGAACCTTTCAGAACCTTCGGTCCATTAGTTCTGATGAACTTTCCAGGCACGAGGCTCCTTCACCTGGGCCGCAGGTGAGGCTCGCGCGCACGAGGAGCACCTGTCCTGCGGGCCGATCCGGTGCAGCTCCGTCCGGATCAGAGAGGAGGAGAGCCGCGATCCGCCGCGCTGCGAGCGCCCCCTGCCGGCGAGAGGCGGAACTGCAGCCGGGAGCCGGAGAAGCTCTGGATCAAAGCGGAGCCAGAAAAGGTGCGGATCAGAACCGGGTCAGAGAGGATGTGGATCAGAACCGGGTCAGAGAGGATGTGG